CTTCCCGTAGGAGCGAGGATCTGGCAGTGTGTCTTGTTGGGCATGATGAATGGGGGGAAGCAGCAGGCTTGGTGCGCTCACACACACACACACACACACACACACACACACACACACACACACACACACACACACACACACACACACACACACACACACACCGGCCCATGTGTGCTTGCCATCAGATGCGTAACTATATCCGGTTGTTCCCCTACTTTGTTCAGGTTGTTTCCCTCAGTTTGTTCAGTGGTCATTAAGACGTCGAGTCCTTGTGAGAGACATGTCCCTGGGTCTCCCCTGGTTACTGTCTCCGCTGCTTCTACACCAACACACACCACCTCCTATTACCGTGTGTGTGTGTTTACTATTTGTATTCACTATTTATGTCTGCACAATCGAGTTATTTACCTCTTGGACTCCGCCTCTCTAGCCAATCTATTTTTCCTTTTTTATGCCTATTATATATATATTTCTCTCTAACACATACACACCCATGCCCAAGAAGTAGCCCGTAGCAGCTAATTTCTTACTCCCAGATACCTATTTACTGCTAGGTGAACAAGTGCATCAGGGTGAAAGAAACTCTCCCCAATTTCTTTACGCCTCGGCCGGGAATCAAACACATTCGGACTATGACCCCTGAGCGCTGTCCACTCAGCCGATGGGGGGCCTCGCGGCTGAGTAAGTGTGAGTGTACTCAGCTAGCTGTACTCACCTAGGTGTGCCAGCAGGGGCAAACAAATGCCTGTCGTGGACCAGCAGTTCAGGACAGGCATTTCTATTTTTACTCGTTTGTATTATGATATTTACATATACAAGAGCATTTCAAAACAACTTCCTAGAACAAATATATGGAACAGGTTAGAACTTCCTGTTCTAACCTGTTCCATTTATTTACGACTCTTAAACTGAGAAAGTTCCTTCTGACATCTCTGACTATTCTGTCTCTCTCGTGTCCATGTATGTCCCCCCTCGCTCGACCAGGGGAGCCGGTCGGCCGAGCGGACAGCACGCTGGACTTGTGATCCTGTGGTCCTTAGTTCGATCCCAGGCGCCGGCGAGAAATAATGGGCAGAGTTTCTTTCACCCTATGCCCCTGTTACCTAGCAGTAAAATAGGTACCTTGGTGTTAGTCAGCTGTCACGGGCTGCTTCCTGGGGGTGGAGGCCTGGTCGAGGACCGGGCCGCGGGGACACTAAAGCCCCGAAATCATCTCAAGATAACCTCAAGATAACCTCCTGCTGCTCACTTGGAGTGATGCTTCACTACCTACTTGGTCAATTCCTCTTAGAGTTGAAGACGATGTTATCATACCTTCCTTATTCCTTGTTTCCTCCAGTGAGCGAGATCCAGTTCCCTCAGTCTTTAGTCCTACCTCAGTCCCCCTTAGCTAAAGAACGAGCCTTGTTGCAGAGCTTTGTATCTTAGTTTTATTTTGTGTTTGCTTAGGTAGGAGTGTCACGCTCGAGCAGCAGTCTCAAGAATGGCTTTCATATATGATGTCTTAAGAACTCAGCAAGCTCCTTTGTCCATTTCCCTGAAGGGTATCCGGGCATGGTGTAGTTTAACATATACTGCTGACATTATTCTGGCGGTGTGTGCCTCTGGTGTGAAATTGTGAGCTATGTCTACTGTCAAATCTCTCAAATTATACCATGAAATTATAGAAATTTGCACATTCTCAGCATTTTATTGCAACAAATGTAGGTGGTAGCCACAATCTGTCTGAACACTCAGCTCGTGGAACGTAGATCTGTTTTAAATGCACTTTAAAGTGCTTGTCAACAAGTCATGTCTTTGTGATAGTAATTCCTTAATTATTTAGCTGGAAGGTATCCTGTTATCTCTGCTAATTGTTTTATTCTATTCTGTAGATCTGTTACTCTTATTATATACATCACACATTCTTATATTTCATGTGTCAAGATAATGTTTCTGGAAAAGTTTGAGTGGCTGGAAAAAAAAAGAACTTACTGTGATTGCTAGATGAGTAATTCCCTCTAGACAAAAGGATATTATTAGATTATGAATTATTTCTTCACGTGTAGGTGTGGACATCAGACCAGGCAGGAGACTGCACTGAGTGCGAGGATGGACTCTTCAAGTGGGGTTCAAGTTCAAATGTTCAACATTGAACAAATGTTCAAGACACGTCTTGAACATTTCCTCCATTCACAATTTAGCTTTCCAAGGTCAGCATTTGCTGGTCCCATAGTTTACATTCATACTTGTTAAATAACGTCACTTGCCCAGAATACAAGATGATCAAGTTCTCTCATAATAACATTTATTATAACTTTCAGGTCTGAGAGCATCAGAGTTACAACTGCCCTTTACACGAGATAACACGCCCCAGATGGGTTGCAAAATATTTTACTGGAATCTCTCTGCCTTGTAATTTAAGTAAATGAGTCCAGTGCATTAACAAACAACTACAACACATTTGGTAGGACTGAATGTGAGGTTGTATTCACAACTGTATCCCTCACATAATTGTATTAAATTGTTAATACCATCTTTAGTCGGTGACAGTAGAACTAGATCATCAGCATAACAGCTCTACAGTCACGAAATTGTTTCAACAATGGACCAAGAATGACAGCAAATAATAAAGAACAAAAAAAAAACCAGCACCAATGTTTGCCACTATTTTTAGTGAGAAATTATCAGTGAGGACATTACTCCACTTTATAGCCACTTTGCGTGGCTCAAAATAAATATATAGCTGTCTAGCAATTACAGGACATATTTTCTACAAATCAATACTCAAAAAAAGTTTTTGTGTATTAAACTGTTTAAATAATTTAGAGGCATCAAGAAACAAAGAGAGAACAGAGGTGCCCAGTGAGCTGTAGTGGTGAATACGTTTCCACCACCAAGAAATGACGTACAGTAGCGTCATTGACTAGCAAGTTTGGTGTAATGGGGACAGGGAATGAGGTGTTGATTGTAGGTGATATACCACTGGAGAGAATCCCTTCTAGACAGGTAAAGTGACGGTAAATTATACTTATCCAGGTCAGCAACAGATTGCTGGTGATAATACCTTCTTCTGCACAAACCTCAAGATGCATACTCTAAATAATATTGTAAATAACGAATTAGAAATAGTTCACTCTTGGATGTCAACCAACAAACTCACAATAAACACAAAAAGACCTTCAACATCTTATTTGGAGGCAAATTATTAAACCAAATTCACCTACAAATAGACCATGTTAACATTAATAGTAAAGATGAGGGAAAGTTTCTTGGTCTATACATTGACAATAGACTAAAGTACTTAAGTACTTTAGTGTCGTAAGTACACTTACAAAAGCCAAAAAAGTCTCTAAAACTGTTGATATATTCTCAAAATTCAGATATTATATTCTCCGCTCTGCTCTTATTGCAGTATACTCGGTAATCTATCCCTGTCTTACATACGGTATCTGTGCATGGGATTCAACCACTGCAAACTACTTCAAGCCCATCATCACCCAGCAAACATCTGCTATCACAACTATAGCAAACTCTGTATTCAGACAACACAAACAGCCCGTCTATTTAAATCCCTAAACATGTTAAACATTCACTCCAAACGTTCTCATGTGGCTATTTACACTTACAAACCTTATTCCTTGATGCTAATCCTGATTTGAAACTCTTCTTTGATAGATGTAATAGAACACACCAGAGATAAATATCTTTTTGGCATCCAGGGAGCCGGTCGGCCGAGCGGACAGCACACTGGACTTGTGATCCTGTGGTCCCGGGTTCGATCCCGGGCGCCGGCGAGAAACAATGGGCAGAGTTTCTTTCACCCTATGCCCCTGTTACCTAGCAGTAAATAGGTACCTGGATGTTAGTCAGCTGTCACGGGCTGCTTCCTGGGGGTGGAGGCCTGGTCGAGGACCGGGCCGCGGGGACACCAAAGCCCCGAAATCATCTCAAGATAACCTCAAGAAGATCCCTAGAGTCAGACTAAATCTGTGCAAACACTCCATGCAAAATAAAAACAAAAAACCAGTGTATGGAACTCACTTCTTAATGATTTAAAAAAATTTCCAACCTGTATTTTTTTCAAAAGTAAAACCAAGAAGTATCTAATTTCTTCCTCTTAGTCTCCCATTTCTATGTCTATGATAAGTCTCCTATTCTTTCTATTATTAGTGTTATTACGTGGAACTCAAATTCTGTGACTCTGTACTATTTAGCTCAAGAGGGAAGGGATTTAGCAGGGGAAAGCGCCAAGCTGTTAGACTATATAGCACTGGTAATGTGTCAGGATAAGGATTTGGGATGGGACGGGGGGCGGGGGAAGGAATGGTGCCCAACCACTTGGACGGTCGGGGATTGAACACCGACCTGCATGAAGCGAGATCGTCGCTCTACCGTCCAGCCTAAGTGGGTTTTAAACCCATCACAGTTGAATGAAATAACTTTACAATATTCTATACTGTTCCTCATTTTGAGATTGGTTAGTCGTGGTTTTCCTGTGCTTCCCATGGTCCAACAAGCACCAACCTGTCCTGTTACGAAGAACGTCGCTTTTCGATCGTATGCGTCACATAAGGCCAAAAAGTTTCGTACTAGAAAATGGAAGCGGCTGGCGAAAGTGACGTGCTGTCCCGTTTTCTGTTTTGGGTCCTCTGGTAGGTCAGGAGGGGACACTTTAAATAGACAGTTTTCATGACGTTGGGAAACATTAGGAGGACGGGCTATGAGGTATGAGGAATTAGTGCTTATTAGGATCTAATTCCTATGAGGAATTAGTGCCCCAATTTAGAGCCAGGTATAGCAGTGAGGTTCCACAGCCAGGTATAGCAGTGAGGTTCCACAGCCAGATATAACAGTGAGGTTCCACAGCCAGATATAACAGTAAGGTTCCACAGCCAGATATAACAACAGAGCTCAAACTGTTATACTAACCAGCTACGGAACTTCACAGACTGTCACAGCTACCAATGATAACCGTTACTAATGTGTAGCTGAAAGCAGTAATAAAATCTTAAGAAAACTACAAACAATTACTTTAATACGTGAAACTGCTTAAGTACTCTGTGGAAATACAATCTATCATTACTACTGCCTTACGACGCATCACTGTGCACTTGCAAGGTACACAATCAACATCGGCAGCTAGCCTCTCCCAGCTAGCAGAAGGCGGAGACGATATCAGGTATGGAGTCCATGTAGTGTGGACATTCTTCACTGACCACGACACCCTGGCAGAAGCACGGGCTGAGCAACACAGAGAGGTAGGCCATCTGTCGCCAGTAGCAGTCGTCTATAGATTCCAGGGCCATCAACCTGGGTACTAAGAGAGATATCTTCTCGATCTGGAAGTCCTGGTGGAAAGGAGATGCTGGTGAGAATACAGGAGATGGCAGATGCTATTGAGGGGCTCAAGAGATGGGGGAGATGGGAGATGATGTTTAGGGCTCAAGAGATGGGGGAGATAGAGATACAAGAATGTGTAATGAAACATTGTCAGTGAAATGTTACTTCCCTTGCAGGCTATGAGTCACAATAACGTGGCTAAAGTATGTTGACCAGACCACACACTAGAAGGTGAAGGGACGACGACGACGGTTTGGTCCGTCCTGGACCATTCTCAAGTCGATTGGGACTTGAGAATGGTCCAGGATGGACCGAAATGTCGTCGTCGTCCCTTCACCTTCTAGTGTGTGATCTGGTCAACATGTTACTTCCCTTATTGTGAAGGGTGAATACAAATGACTCAAACATTCATGGTAGCAACATTCCATGTGGCTCGTGGTGCAGGCGCCAAATAAAACATTATGGTGCTGAGGTCCTGTTAGCTCATCATAGTCCTCATGTCCCCCATATTTCACAATGATGAAGATGTTATATGTGCACCGCCTTAACTTACCAGGGCCCAGTTGTCTCAAGGTGTGTCCATAATCCGACATGGTCCACCAGTCATGGAGGTGTGTCCATAATCCAACATGATCCACCAGTCCTCAAGGTTGCCATATAATCCAACATGGATCAGATTCTTCCTGATCACTCCCATATCTCTCAGATATCTACAAATTGGATATTGTATCTATGAGGTATTGACTAAGAGATTGTCTATTGTAATAAAGGGATTGTTACCTAGTAAGTCTGAACAAGTATAACTTGGCCAAGTCTGAAAAGGGGGGAACACGTAAGAGTGTAACGTACCTACACAAAGTCTGGAAAAGTCAAACGGAGCTGGTTAAGACTAAGTCAGACCACTGAAAATGTGCGTGGTTTGACCTAGTCTTAAAGAAATCTTGTAAGCACATAGCCAGGTACGTTCCTGGCTCCGTTACTTGTAAATGTTGTAAATGAGAAGACAGTTAAAAAATACAATTAAATTAAATACTCAGGTAATGTCTCGTAGATACTCGTCGTCTGCAAGTGTTGAGAGTAGCAGTGATATGTGGGAGTCGTTATGACGATGAGGGAGACAATCAGTGAGGTAGATAGTTAATATTCACAGTGAGGTAGAGAATGGCGACCGAACTACACATCAGAAAGTGAAGAAACTACCACGTTTCGGTCTGTCCTGGACTGAAACGTGGTAGTTCCGACCATTGGTTACCATTATAAATAGTAACCAATGGTTACGGTTACCATTTATGTAATGGTCCATAAATGGACCATTACCATTGGTAACGGTCCACGACGGACTTAAACATCATCGTCTCCTCATCGTCTGATGAGTGGTTTGGTCATTCATATCTTCAGCCACGTGATTGTGACTCATCGTCCGCAGATAGAGAATTAACAGTCGCAATGAGGTAGATTTTTAGCCATCACAATGAGTGTAGAGAATTAACGAGGGTGAGTGATGAATTATAACTCACCAGAGTACACGTGTCGTTGCTAACGAAGATGCTCATACAGTTCTCATCACCCTTAGCCTTCTTTAAACTCACGTCGAAGTCGTCGAGCATCTTAAAGGCACTCTGGAGTTCATCCGGATCAGCGTTCATCTCACCTTTCTTGCATATCCCCATTAAAGCTTCCTGTCCATCTAACATGGAAATCGATACCGTCAATGGCCATGAGGTCAACATGAAGAGGAAAATTACTGTCGAAGACAACTTGATGAATGACTCCATGCTTGTGAAGGAGCTGTACACCTGTAGAGGTTATGACCTGGCTTGGAGAAGTCTTGGAGGTGACTGAGGTAGCTTGCAGGAGCCGTGGCAGTGACTCGGGCAGCCAGCACGGGGTTGAAGTAGCCAGCAGCAGTCACGAGCAATATAAGCTGACCCTGAGCATGGCATCAACACTGGACTCGAAACATAACGCTTGTGTGAGGTGTTTGGTCAAATCTGTGGCAATATTTTAATTGCATATCCCAAGGTCCGGATATTGCACGAGGTTACACACCCGCCAAGCACCAAACCACACACACACACACACACACACACACACACACACACACACACACACACACACACACACACACACACACACACACACACACACACACACACACACTCACCAAGCATCAAGGTCCTTAACAATCGAAACATGCAGAGAACTTGTTTACAAAAATATGAGGGCGTGCTTAGAGGTCACATCAAGGCCCGTGAAGACGTGCTGGAGATCACGTCAGAGCCCCTGTGGAGGTGCTGGGGTCACATCAGGGGCCCCCCCCCTCCCCTCCCAGGGACCATGGGGAGACTTCAAGTGTGTTGATAATATTAACATTGACAGTGGTGGTGCTGATAATTGTTAATATGGAGGACAACATCTCTGTGCTGAGAGAGAGTGAGAGAGAGTGAGAGAGAACATTTTTAACGTTTGCTAGCGGCTGTAGTGAAGAGGCAGGTGCCACTTAGGGCAAGAAGGTAGTGGCAGAGTCAAGTGGTTGAGTGGCTTCTAGTCATTAGCTAGACACCATGCAGGGAGGAAGGGAGTGAGGGAGAGAGGGAGTTATGGAGTGGGGGGACGAAAAGAGAAAAATAGAGCAAGGGAGGGAGGGAGAGAGTGAGGAAAGAAGGAAGAAAAGGAGGGAGAGGGAGGGAGGGCGGTAGGGAGAGAAGAGAGAGAGAGATAGAGAGAGAGGGAGGATTACCACGAAGGGAAGGTCCACCTGTAAGGAACAAATTGACCACTTCTAGGGACACCAATCGGTTTAGACTCTACAATAACAACCCTCTCTGCGAATCACCTATATGTGGTACCAACCATCAGGAGCCATGGTCATATCACTAACGATCCGCCCCCCTCCCCCACCTCCTCCAGGTATGGTACCTGCTCTCAGAAGCTAGTCACTGGCAGTTTTATTTAATCAAAAAGAAGAAGTACATTCAGGGTATATAAGTTCAAAGGGCTTGTAGAGTGAATGGTGGGTGTAAGGAACACTGGTGTCTGACAGACACAGTACAAGTTATCACAAATGTTTTCAAAACAGAAAATTGTAGGTTTTATGTAACTCGATAAATATTCCATTGGCTAATTGACTCCGTATTTGCTCATTGGTAAATTAAAATGATTTAATTTCCTCTAACTAATCATGTTTACACAACAAAACTCATTTCATTGTAACTAATCATTATTTACACAACAACACTAATTTCAGTGTTGAACTTTCTATCAATGAGCCTTGTCCATGTAATACACAATAAACCTACAATAGATGGTGACAATATACAATCTCAATACCGGTGACAATAGTCTTCCTGAATGAGTATATCGTGAAGAAACAGTCTGGTGGGTCATAGTGTGGCTGAGGTCATACTCTGGTTGATACCTGGTTGATGGGGTTCTGGGAGTTCTTCTACTCAACAAGCCCGGCCCGAGGCCAGACTTGACTTGTGAGAGCTTGGTCACCTGTTATAACTTAATTGTCACATAGGTAGCATGTCAAATAGGTACCTGGGTGTTAGTCAGCTGTCACGGGCTGTTTCCTGGGGGTGGAGGCCTGGTCGAGGACCGGGCCGCGGGGACACTAAAAAGCCCCGAAATCATCTCAAGATAACCTCAAGATAACCTCCCTCGTCTGCTCTCATATCATTTTCTCAACTACATTTGTGTGCTCAAACAAATCTTTATTAAATGTTTGCGCAGTTTCTGGGTCTGGTGTTGGGTTTAAGTTGTATATAAACTGCTGGAAGGTCATTAGGCCACAATGATAGATTTCTTTATCAACCTACAAATATATGTTAACCCTGAATATGCGGACTAACATAAGAAAATGAGAATAAAAGAAACTGCATGAGATCTATTGGCATGTATGAAACTCCTCAAATATATATCTTCCCACTACACACCTCACCCCAACACACACACACACACTCACTCCCCCAATCAACCTTACCGGTTGAGAGGCGGGACCAAAGAGCCGAAGCTCAACCCCGCAAGCATATCTGGGTCAGTACACACTGCACACACCCCAACAAACACACACACACACACAGACACACACACACACACACACACACACACACACACACACACACACACACACACACACACACACACACACACACACAGGCGGGATCCAAGAGTCCAATGCTCGATCCTACAGACACAACTAGGTGAGTACACACACACACCCACACACACACACCACACACACACACACACACACACACACACATATGACATGACAAGGGAAGAGAGAATGCAAGCAGCAGACGCGAGGAAGGAGCGCAGGGAGAGAGAAAGGAATCAGGGAGCCACACCCCCGATCCCTACAATCCCAGAGGGAAACGGGGAACCCTCCTCAAACAGTGCATTAGCCACAGGGAGTGCGGCACCACCCCTCATTCCACCCAACAGAACAACCCTACCTGCCCCAACCCCTGTCAGGCCCCCCACTAAGTACCCACCTAAGGCACCCCCTCTCCTCCCACTCACCCCCCTCCTCCCACTCACCCCCCTCCTCCCACTCCCCCCCCCTCCCCCCAAGGACCTCCCTTCTCCCCCATCCCCCAAGCCCTCCCTTCTCCCACATGCCCTTCCGTCCCTCCCACCCACAAGCCCTTCATTCTCCCCCACCCCCCTAAGCTCCCCACTCTCCCCCACCCCACCTAAGCCTTCCCCTCTCCACCACTCCCCAAAACCCTCCCCTCTTCCTCAACCACCTCAGCCTTCCTTTCCCCCCCACGCCCCCTTTACCCCCCTCCCCCACTTTATTGCCCCCCCAAAACCCACCCCCCCCAACCCTCCCCCCCTCACCCACTCCCCCCCTACCCTCCCCCCCTCACCCACTCCCCCTACCCTCCCCCTCCCCCCCCCCCCCTCACCCACCCACTCCCCCCCTCACCCACTCCCCCTACCCTCCCCCCCTACCCCTAACCCTCCTCACCCCTCACCCCTACCCCCCCAAGCCCTTCCTCCTCCACCAGTCTCCCCATACCAGATCCTCCCAGCTCCTGCTCACCCCCAGACCCCACAGGTCCTCCCCAGAGGAGAAACAGAAGAGAGTTAGTTTCAGGGCAATGTACTCGAACATAGATGGGATCACAAGCAAGGCAAGTGAACTAAGGGAAAGAGCACAAGAAGTGAACCCAGATGTAATTGGACTCACTGAAACAAAACTCTCTGGAATCATAACGAATGCCGTGTTTCCCCAGGAGTACACAATAATAAGGAAAGAGAGGGAAGGTAGGGGAGGAGGAGGAGTGGCCCTACTCATGAGAAAGGAATGGAGTTTTAAGGAGATGACTATCCCGGGCTGTGAGGGTTTCAGAGACTACATAGCAGGCCCATGACAATGGGAGGACCAAGGATAGTAGTAGCAGTAATATATAATCCTCCACCAAATGACAAAAGACCCAGTCAAGAGTACGAAAGCAACAACATGGCAGTTAACACTATAATTGAGAGGGCAGCCTCTTCTGCCTGTAGAAATAGATCCCACCTGCTCATCATGGGGGACTTCAATCACGGCAGGATTGATTGGGAGAACAAGGAACCGCATGGAGGCGAGGATACGTGGAGAGCCAAACTACTGGATGTGGCGACTAGAAACTTCTTAACCCACAGCATGTCAGTGAACCCACAAGGATGAGAGGAAACGACGAACCAGCGAGACTCGACCTGGTTTTCACCCTGAACGACTCTGACATAAGAGAAATCAGTTTTGAGGACCCAGTAGGAATGAGCGACCACAGTGTATTGGTGTTTGAGTACCTGATTGAAGAAGGGTTATTGAACTCGAGAAGGGATACCGAAACCAAAAGGTTAGCATACCGAAAGGGAAACTATGAGGAGATAAGAAAATGCCTAGCAGATATAGCATGGGAAACAGAGCTCAGGGAAAAGACGGCCCAAGATATGATGGAATACATCACGCAAAAATGCAAGGATGCAGCAAACAAGTTTGTCCCAGTCCAAAAGGAAAACAGTGAAATGAAGATGAGAAACCCATGGTTTAATCAGAGATGTAGGCTAGCTAAGCAGCAAAGTAAAAGGGCATGGAGAAACTATAGGAATAACAGGACACTGGAGAGCAGAGAAAGATACCAGAATGCCAGGAATGAATATGTTAGGATGAGAAGAGAGGCAGAAAGACAATACGAAAATGACATCGCAAGCAAGGCAAAGACTCAGCCTAAATTGCTGCATAGCCACATCAGGAGAAAAACAACAGTAAAGGAACAGGTTATGAAATTAAGGTTAGGGGCAGAAGTATTCACTACAAACGACAAGGAAGTGTGTGAGGAACTGAATAAGAAATTCCAGGAGGTCTTCACCTTGGAGCAAGGAGAAATCCCAGAGATAAGAGGGAATAGCTAACCAGGAACCACTGGAAGAGTTTGAGATTACCAGCGGGAAGTAAGGAAGTGTTTTACTAGAATTGGATGTGACAAAGGCTATAGGTCCAGATGGAATCTCCCCTTGGATACTAAAGTCCTGCCTCACAGAGTTACTTGAATTCTACGACCAGGCAACAAAAATAAGGCAAGAAAGAGAAGGGTGGGCAGACTGCATATTTTTGGATTGCCAGAAAGCCTTTGACACAGTGCCACACAAGAGGCTAGTGAAAAAGCTGGAGATGCAGGCTGGAGTGAAAGGGAAGGTACTCCGTTGGATAGAGGAGTACCTAAGCAACAGGAGACAACGAGTCAGTGTGAGGGGTGAGGTCTCAGATTGGCGAGACGTTACGAGAGGTGTCCCGCAGGGGTCAGTCCTTGGACCTATACTGTTTCTGATATATGTAAATGATCTTCCAGAGGGTATAGAATCGTTTCTCTCAATGTTTGCCGATGATGGAAAAATTATGAGGAGGATTGAAACCGAATAT